GTCTGAGTTCTTTAAGAATGCCCAAACCTGCCAAAACCTTCCTTGTACAAACTCTTCTACAGGTGTTGTATGGTGACAGGGATTACCTCGAAAAATTGTTTACTCCTAAACAGTTTGCTCAGCAGTACCCTATTAAGAAGGTTCCTATGCAATCTGCTGTGCCACCATGGTGCTGTGTCTCACCTTATCTGTAGCTATAGCTAGGGACCCTAGCTAGGGACACACTAAAATGGCTAGAGCGCCTTCCTGGGGCCTTTGCTACTGCTTAGATGGTCTGGCAGATATCCTTAAACAAATCTCCAGGATGGGTCTCCTGTCTGTCCACATGCGATTGGTTGTATGGCTTAGATCCTTCTGGGAAATGATTTGTATGCAGGACCTTTACTGGTGAATGCTTGTTCAGCAAATACTTGGATACTTACATCAAAGAAGTATTGGGCGGCAAACTTTTCTTCTCCCTCTTTTTTATGAAAAGTTTCTTTTGTCCCTCCTAAGCCTCAGTTTGTAAAGCCCACATCCAAGCCCTCCATTTCCTTGCCTTTCAAGCCTGCTAAATCCAGGAACAAGCCATAAAGGGGACACTTTCACCAGTGGGGTGACATCTGGTGGCTTTCTCGGCCTTCTAGGTCTGGGACATTTCTGATGACTGGGTCCAGAGTGTTGTAACCAACTCCCTCCCATCGCTCCCTTCCCCCTCCTCGCTTGCTGCTGTTAAACCTTCTCCTGAGACTATGGCAAAAGCCTTATTGTTCAATATTCATCGGACAGTACAAACCCTGCAGAGCTTCAGATGGGTCCTGAAGTCAACTTTGCAACCCTCTGATTGCTTGTAGTGCCTAGGCTTGGAAACAGCCCTGTACGGGATCTTCCTTCCCCCAGAAAAGATCCAATCTCTCGACTCCAATGCTCGAAACTTGCAGTCCAGGAGTTGCCTGACCATCTACTTTTGCATGAAAGTGTTGGGCTAGATGGTGGCCTCCTCTATGCTCAGTTTCACTCCAAGCTGTTTGCAGCTATGCATCCTGGCTACATGGGACAAACAGGCTCACTTCCTGGACCTCTCCATTCGCTTGCCTAGCAAGACCAAGCTTGCCCCAACGTGGTTAATCTCCAACTCCGCGTTGGAATTGGGGAAATCCTTCCTCCCAATCCTCTGGAATGTGCTCAGGATGGATACCAGCTTGTCAGGCTAGGAAGACGTCCTGGTACCTGGGAAGCTCCTGGTTCATAGGGCCTTGTCATTAGTGGAATTCCATCTACCGATCAACACCTTGAAGTTCAGGGTCATTCAATCAGACAACACCATGGCTGTTGCTTACAACAACCATCAAGGAGGCACTGGGAGTTGTGCAGGGCAAAGAGAAGCGAACTTGATTCTTTCTTGGGTGGAACTTCACATCTAGGCCCTGTCTACCATGCATATCCCAGTCATGGAAAATTGGCAGAATAACATACTCAATCATTAATGTCTGGATCCCAGACAGATCACTTCTCTCTGAGATGGTTTAGGATCTTTGTTGCAAGTTGGGGACACTGCATGTGGATCTCCTTGTGTCCGGGCTCAACAACAAGCTGGACAGGTTTGTCTCCAGCACCAGAAACTCTTGAGCCTTTGTTGCCTTTGGATACCTGGGTGACATGGGATCATTTCATCCTGATCTATGCCTTCCCTCCTCTGAAACTCTTGCCTTACCTCCTTCGCGGTTGTTGGGGGGGGGGGGGGGAGGGGTGGGTATTCCAGTGATCCTTGTTACCTCCAACAGGCCCAGGAGACCATAGTACGCTGACATAGTTTAACTCTGGCCTAGCCTGGAGTGCTATCAAGGGCCAAATTTATGCCTTGGCAATGCTCCTCTTGTCACTTGCTTGTCACTTGATGGCCACTTGCTTGTCACTTGATGGCCTGTGTGCAGGCACTTGATGGCCACTTGCTTGTCACTTGATGGCCTTTGTGCAGGGCATTGCTCATGTTTTGCCCTGTGCAGCCGCTTGTGATTCTGTGGGATCCCAGCTTACTTCTGTTGGCACTGGAAAAGCTGCCATTTGAACCTCTCAGAGATATCCCTCTGACCATATTCACTCACAAGGTTGTCTTCCTCGTCACCATTACTTCTGGTGGGCGGGTTTCTGATTTGGTGGACTTGACTTGCAAAGAGCCTTTTCTGGTGATCTACAAGGAAAGGGTTGTACTGTGGCCTGAGGCCTCCTTTCTTCTTAAACTGGTATATTTATGTATGGACAATCACGCACCAAATGCATGACCATTACTACAAAAAATATATCGTTATTATATACACCATGCAATTGCACTAAGTCCAGGGAGGTATATGTAATTATCTATTATCCACTGTTTGTAACTTTTTAGACCAATGAAATGTTTTTAAGTATATTGAGATCATGTAAATGAAAATCTTTATTATATTCTATATATTTGTGTCCAGTCATCATGTCTCGTTGCCAAGCTAAGCCATGTTATCCCACATTCATCATTGGACACTTTCAAAGCCCCTTTATCGCTTTGTTTTTTCATGGTATATTTATAAACCATTGAATGTGACATTCAAAAAGCATTCACTGCAGGTAAATCAAATCAATTGTTCTAATTTAAAACCCATGCACCAGGAAGATATACCTGCAGTGAATGTTTGGTCAATGTCACATTCACTGCTTTATAAATATACCTGAGTCTTAACCACAAATGCTTGAATAAACTTAAATTGATATTTTAGGACACACTGGAAAAAAGAGTGCAGATGCTTTCATTATGACCACTAAATAGCAAAAAGCCTGCATTAAAATTAAAGGACAGTGCAGAAGGTAACAAAGGCCCCAGGGGCGCACTGGAATATATCGCCTTAGCTTTAATTGACTTTAAAAAACCTTGCTCCTCAAAGTCAGGTTAATCATGTACATGTCATTTATGTTGATCTATAACGCACTAGGATGCTTTACTACCCAATCTAGCAATATTTAGCTGGACATATATTACTGGCCCAAATGCATGAACTGAACTGTTTAGGGCTTTCTGTGAAACCCCTCTCAAAGCACCCAACAATGTTGAAGGGCAAGGAGGCTGATATCAACATAGGGGGTTGTACTCTTACTTTCATTTTACCATGGGGATGCCACAGTTTGACAGATCGGGTTGGAGTAGTACAGGAAGAGTAGTGACATCATTTATAGGCATACTGTATATGAAGATGTTAGTAGGGCTGTGCAAATGAATGATTAATTTCTCGATTAATCGTTAATCTTTTTGATCGATAAAAATTTTTTTGATCGATTCATTTTTTTAAAAACTCTCTGCACGAGCGCCAGCCAAGGCATTGGCCTATACACATACAGCACAGCAATGAAGTCATACAATGAACTAGGATCACACTAATCCAGCACGTTATTATTCTGAGTTGCCCCACGTGAGATTAATAACGTGCTGGATTAGTGTGATCCTAGTTAATTTTATTACTTCATTGCTGTGCTTTATGTGTATAGGCCAATGTAGTTGGATCTGTATGTGCGTTATAATTAATCGAAATGAATCAATTAATCGATTAAAAAAAATTTTGATTAATCGGGGAGGAAAGTGAAGGGGTCTATGCGAGCGACTGTGAGGTAAACCCCAACTCCACGTTCGTGTCCAAACCCCTACATTCTTGGGACACCCGGGGACATAAAAAAGAAAACCCTATATATTTACTCATGTTTTTTCAGCCAGGTCTGATGACATCACATGTGCTCTTTGCCCTCTTCTTCCTCCAGTAGGGCATGGAGCAATGCAGCATCCTGTGAGTCTAGGAGGTGGGGGATGGAGCTTTGAGGCCCTGGGCTCAAGGAAAGTGGGTTAAATAATGCTGGGTTCCCCATAGAAGAATTAGTAAGAGACTGCAGCTCCACATAATGAAAACAAAAAATAGAAACATGGGCAGAATCCTCTTATGTTAAACTCAAAATTATCTCAGCTTTTATATACACTGAGTGGCCAGATTATAATGACCACCTGACTTTGTAGGCAAATTAGCTATAATTAGCTATAATTTTGCGCTGAAGTTGCTAGAGGGCCAGACCATTATACATAGGTAAGCAGGTTGTTTACCACGACAGTAGAAGTTATTTTTTTCTGAAGATATGGGTAAACAACGCGATTTAACAGCCTTTGAACTTGGCAGGATTGTAGTGCTCCTAGCCATGGAGCGAGTATCAGCAAAACAGCAGAATTCCTTAAATGTCCAAGAGCAGCTGTTAAAGTGTTTAAAGACTAGACTGTCAGCCGAAAATCTGGGTCTGAACGTGCGAATTGTGGCCGTCAGCGACTAGTCAATGTTATGGCAGAACGGAGAGTGGCAAGACTAGTACAAGACAACAGAAGGGCAACAGTGCAGTGTCAGATTCCTCTCATCACCTTTCAACATCTCGTGGAGTCACGAGGCGGCCCAACGAAGTCATCTCGTGGCCCAACCAAGTACTGATGGGGTGGTCATAATAATCTGGCCACTCAGTGTACATTGGATGAGATGAGAAGATTCTTGCTGTTTTATGAGAATTAAGCTCAATACATTATTCTTTATGATGTGCTTTTCCAGCGCTTGAAATCTAGTTATTGTTTTTTTGTTTTTTAGATTTAAAAACTTATTTTAATTACCTTACTGTTCCTGCTGGAGTTGTCTTTGTATTTTTTAGACTGACATAGTGTTTCCTGTGTGTCCTTTGTCTTTTTCGATCTAGCTCTTTGTACAGTTGTCAGAAAACAAGGCTACCACTACAATGCACACTGGATAATTTTAACGGTTTTTTTTATATAAAGGAGAAGGACTGGTCATGTATGCATTCTGCTAACCTTTGTGAAAATAAAATGTTACACTTGAACTTGAGACATTGTGGGACTTAAAATTAAACAGTAGTGGTTAATGCTAATTATATTTTTATATGGTAATCGATTTGAAAACAGCAATTGTGACGCCAGTATACAAAGTCAACCAGTTTCTCTTTCTCCTCCTTTATAGAGATGTGATCTTTGCCCACATAAAGAGGGGGCGCTTAAGAGAACGGACAATGGAGGTAAGTTAAGAGACAAGGCATGAAAAGTGCAGACATTATATAGTAGTAAATCATTCTGCCAAAAATTGGTCTCTGAAATATACCTTTTAAAATGTTTTGTTATATCTGTGCAATAGGTGGAAAAAAATGTCAGTTTCTTTCTGTGCTGCACTGCTATCAGTTCACATTGTTCCCAGCTATCTCTGTGGAATGCAGAACCCCTTTCCCTATGACATGGAGAAGAGGAGAGGGAAAGGTGTTTTGTAGTCCTGCTTCTCCATAGATACAGTACTGTAAATTAGCTTTGTCACCCTTGCACAGAAAAGGGGTTACTTGCAGTAAAACATGTAGCAGCGGTATTACTACCTCTGCCAAATGTAACGGCTTCCCCCTGAGGAAATAAAGTGTCAGGGATGCTGGCTGACATCATTGACTACATATGGCCATATGTAGTCAATGATGTCAGCCAACATCCCTCCCAGCTATTTGTTTACATTCAGCTGTTGGCCGGGGATCTCCTGGTGCGCAGTTAAAAAGGGCCGGGAATGTTTAATTGATTGCTAGAATGCTGTTGGCTGCACAGCTGAAAGAGTTTTTGCGGCCATTGAAGTGGCTGAACAACAGTGGGCAGAGCATGGTGGGGAAGCTGAGAGACTAGTTCCCAATCAGGTCCACTTCCTTGTGATTGAACGTGAAAGCCAGTGGGTGGATTCCATATAAAACTGTCCACTACTGCCCCCTGTCAATTATAAGGTAGGTAGACCTTATGGGAAACCTAGTCTTTCAGCTTCCCTATCAGGCTTTCTTAGCTTTCATATTTGGGTATGCTGGCAGACATTATTGACTAAATATGGCCATGTCCATATTTCATTAATGATGTCAGCAAGCATCCCCTGCCCCTTTGTTTTCATTTAGCTGTTGGCCAGGAATCTCCCAGCTGGCAGCTGAATGGGGCCAGGGTTGGTCAGTGTCGCAGCTAAAACTACAGTAGCGCTTGATGGGGAAGCGAATAGATCACAGGTCAGAGCTGTGGTGCTTTAGGTGTGCAGAGCTCAGAAGCTGTTGTGGGCTTGTGTGTGCAGAGGTCAGAGCTGTGGTATGGTGTGTGGGCAGAGATCAGAGCTTTGGAGGGGGGGGTGCAGAGGTCAGAGCTGTGGTGTGGGTGTGTATGCGCAGAGATCAGAGCTTTCGAGGGGGGCCTGCAGAGGTCAGAGCTGTAAAGGGAGGGGTGTGCAGAGGTCAGAGCTGTGGTGTGGGAATGTGTGCAGAGGTCAGAGTTTTGGAGGGGAGGTGTGTGCAGAGGTTAGAGGTGTGTGCAGAGGTTAGAGCTGTGGCGGGAAGGTGTGTGCAGTGGTCAGTGCTGTGGAGGGGTGTGTGCAGAGGTCAGTGCTCAGTTTTCTTCATAGTAAATGTCTAAAGTAATTACTGAAAGCTTTCTTAGATGAACATATGGGCCATTTTGTTAGCTCACCTTAACACATGTCCCCTTCCTTTCTGACACTATCGCAAATATATTTCTGTAATCTTTTAGAGACATTCCTGTAAGCTTTGAAACAATTTAAGAAAAAAAATGTCTCAACACATACCCCTGCATATTTTTTCTACACTGCTTACAATTATGTCACATTGTTATTAATTTGTCGCAAATTTCATGTAGTTGTTAACTTTAGGGATGCACCGATACCAAGTACAGTACTCGGTACAAGTACAGATACTTTTCGAGCTCCAAGTCTACACTAGAGAAAAATTCAAAAGTTAGGAGGCAGCTGTCATTTGTAAGGAGCACATGGAGCTCCTGGGATTTGTACATCTCTGTTTTAATGTATGATTTTGTTTTTATAAATATAAATAAAGGGATGCACCGATACCAGTTTTGCAAGTACAAGTACTGATACAGTTTTCTTTATTGCCATGTGACAGTTTTTCTAAAACAATATCGACTAATGATTTCTTGACAGTGGTGGAGCACCAGAGCCAGGTCCCAGCTGCAACCCTGGTAGTTCTCATGAAAATGCCAAGTATCGGCATTGGTACTCGAAAAGTATTCGTGCATCCCTATTGTAACAACCTGCACCTTTTTTTTTCTTAATCCCCTCTGTATGTGATTTTTCTATTGATGAAGAATGTCTTATTTGTTATGTATGGTATGCCAAGGTTATTCTAATGTGTAAACCAGTTAAATATATTATCTTTCCCTTTGAAATTTCCTTAGGTTGGGCACATGTGGTATGTGCACTGTACATCCCAGAGGTTCAGTTTGCCAATGTCCTGACAATGGAGCCTATTGTCCTGCAATATGTGCCTCATGATCGATTTAATAAGGTAACATTTTATTGTACTATTATTCTGTAAAAAATGTACCCATGATTCCTTCAGTCTAACTGTAGTTGTTCCTACAGACATGCTACATCTGTGAAGAACAGGGAAGAGAGAGCAGGGCCGCTTCTGGGGCCTGTATGACTTGTAATCGGCATGGCTGTCGGCAGGCATTTCATGTGACATGGTAGGTGGTTATTGCAGTTGGTTGTTGTGGGAATATGAAAGTGTCAGGCTAATTACAATACAAATTTATTTGGTCCTGAATTTGGATTAAATACTAGAAAAACAATATTTCCTAATTGTACATCACAGGGCACGGGGAGTTAAATTCCTTAACCACTGGGTTATGCAGCTACTTTCAGGTGATTAAATACTGGCAAATCAATCAAAGATACATGACACCCTCCATCTCCCAGCTTGCTTCAGTTTTTCACCACTGTGATTAAGTGATGGATGCCTTCTCTTAGCTCTTAGTACTCTATTTTACACAATTTTTTCTGAGGTTTTTTTCTGCAAAAAGCACGTTTCTCTAATGTTGCTCAAACCAACTGCAGCAGCTATTTGGATTGTTTTTCTATTTGGCAGACTGTTCCCAGATCCCACCAGAAGGAAGATGTGGGCTGGCCTGCAATATGCTCAGTCAGTGGACCCTGCTTTTTCCTTGACACTTGTTCAGCGTGTATGGTTAGCTGCAGGGCGCTTTACAGTTACAGGGCTGTGGTCCAATTAACGAAGCCCTGACCCCGAAGACCCCCCCTAGATCGGTATGCCTACCCAGATGATGAAGATTGAATGGTATGTCTCTGATGACTGCTGCACATCTATGTTAAAGACCAAAAGCCCCTCAAGTAAGCCTCAGCCAGCCCCCACAGTTGCCAAGGCAGTAGCCCCAGTACACTAAGAGGATGAATCTGCAACTGTGGTGTTGCCATTTTGCCAGTGAATCAGCTTTGAGGATTTAAATTTGGTGCTGGTGGTTGTTTCCCATGTGGCCAAGGGGACAGTGCCTGCACAGCCTTCTTCCTGGGTACCGTACTGCACAGGCGCAACTATTTTCTTGCTGCACGCTTCTGACTGGAAACATGATTCCTGCTGCTGTCCGTACATCTGTACCCTCACCCATTACAGTTATCTGTATCGTTACTACCCACTTTTTCTTGCATCTTTCTGGCCATGCACCCTTTTGCACTTATGTGGAAGACTAGCTGCCTCCATTGACTTTGGATTTGCGTCAGCTCTGTGATGCAGTCTTTACTCTCCAGCGGCACACTGATGACCAAGAGGACTGGCTTTGTCGATCCAGGTGGTGGTCTCCAAGGGAGGACGGAGGGGATGCACCCTGAGCCCTTTTTGGAATCTCACTGTTCGGGCAACCTACTTTTGACCTTTTGTCATGAAGCGGGTGCACCGTTTCTCTCCTAAACCCCCCCCCCCCCTACTGGGGCGCCTCCCCATACATTTGTTGCCAAGTTGCTCTCTCTGGACCATTATGCTGCACTTCGGGTGGCTCTTGGGAAGGGCCTAATTAAATGCTACTATATCCTTCTACCCAGATTTTTTCTTGTAGGTGCAATGACAGCGTACGACAGGGCTTGACACATTTTCTTTAAATCCAGGAGCCAGCTAAAAAAGTTAGAAGACAGGTTTTTTTTTCACGGGGGGCCTTTCAAGTTCGGGACTAATGGGGACTAACATTTTTTTTTTGTATTTTTAATTTAATGTAACTTTTTTTTTTTTTACTCATTAGAGATGACAGGTTCTCTGTTAGACCCCTAGTGTCACCTTTTCACTTCAATAGCTTTAGCTGGGGATTGACAGCTGCCTGCAGAGGCAGCTGAATGTAAACACAGCAGGCAGTGGCTGGGAGCAATAGCCACTTTGGAGGGGACACAGACTGCCGCATGAGAAGGTCCAGTCTTGTAGGCTTATTCTCCTCAGTTCCCGTGGTCTTCCTTTTCTCTTCATCCTGAAGCCACTTTCTCCATGGATCAAATCGGAGACAGCCTATGGAGTGGGAAACGGAGTGGGTTAACTGTTCCTTCCAACAACACAAAAACAGTAGACCCTGGCCCTTCCGCTACAATCTCTCCTTTAACTGGCTTCTTGCCTCTCTCTGACTAATACTTTGCCACCTGTTTGTGCCCATTTGTGATCCTCCCAAAGAACATCAATAGGGAAGAGAGGAAATATACTTATATTTCCCAGTGTCAAATTACAATTTATCTTGAAATGTTTGATGTTATAGAGCTTCACTTTCCACTCTGACTGAGAAGTGTCAACGAACAAGTCAGAGTCCCAATCACCATCCTGAAGCTCATCTGCCAATGCAAATATAACTTCAAACCTTTCTGCCAGATCTCCTCTTATTCCTAAAAAGGCCTCAGCTTCAGACGTATCGGACATTTTTTCTATATCATGGGAAGCAGTGATCTGGTAAGTATTAGGACCCGTTCTTTTGGGAACATCATGTAAATACTGTATTCTGCACTCCAGCTGTGGGACCTGTGCTCCAGCCCCCACTATCTTCTCATACGGTGTTCATTTGGCTATCGGTCTAGAATTTAACAACAGAATTGCCTGTATAAGGACCCGATCCCACCCCCTCAGTGTATGTGTGGGTGTAAGCTTGCGTATCTGGTCCTTCAATAGCCCGTTGTATCTTTCAATTAAACCAGCCGCCTGTGGATGGTATGGGACGTGGCACAGCCAGTACATTCCAGAATCTTTGGCCCACTGTTGTACTGTAGATCCGGTGAAGTGCGATCCATTATCGCTATGAACTTCGCTTGGGCGACCATAGGAAACGATAATTTTCTGGAGCAATTGGAGCGTTGCAGCTTGATCTGCACGTTTGCACGGATGGACAATCAAAAGTCCTGAATAGGTGTCTACTGCAGTGCAACAATATCTCAGTCCATTGTTTCCCCGCAGCAGGGGACCGATGAAGTCAATCTGCCAAATCTCTGCAGGCCCCTTGCCCCACTTAATACTTCTGTAATGGCCATTGTCGCACTTCTCCACACACTGTACAGTTTCCTATCACAGTCTTTTATCATATGCATGGTTATGGGCAATCCTCTCTGCTGCGCCCATTCATATGTAGCTCTGCTGCGCCCATTCATATGTAGCTTTCTGCCCCAAATGTCCTTATTTCTTGTGGGCCCAGTTGGCCAAGTTCATCAAGACTGGATCAATTGGCACAACTGCAGTCACTTTGGCGATCTCATCTGCCACTCTATTGTAGTTCTCGAAGTCCGGAACTAGGGGCATATGTGCATCTACATGCCCCACTTTTATTGTACGTGAGTGGGCTTCTTTCCAGATATAGTCCCAGAGGTCCTTGCCTCCCCACGCTGCCTTTCCATGAATTAACCAATCATTGGTCCTCCACGTGGGCATCCAAGTTGTCATTCCTTTAAAGACCGCCCAGCTGTCAGTGTAGATTGTGACATGGGAAGAGGGATCCTCCTGTAGCGTCATTACTATAGCTTTCAATTCTGCATACTGGCTGGATCCTCCAATTCCAGTCTCTTGTAGGACTGTGTCGGTACTTGGATTATAGGATGCTGCTGTCCACTGTCGCCCAGAGGAAGTTACTATGGCAAAACCATCAGTGAACCGTGCTGACTCTTTATCTTCTTCTGACTCAAAAGGCGGAGCCTCGTGAATGGGAGATTGCTGCAGCACAGGAATTTCTTCTTCTGGCTGGGTGCTAGTGAATGTGACAAGCCCTGCCAGTTGCTGTGAAATGTCTCTGACATCTCCTGCTGCAATACCACCCCTCTCCTGAAGGTACCACTTCCATTTCATCAAAGTCTGGTTCTGAGCTACAGTTACCCTAGTGGTCAGTCCATTATCTCTCACCCATCCTGCTATGGGCAATGCAGTATGGATGGTGACTGGCTCCTTTTCTGTAATGGTTTCTACATGATGGAGTGCTGTGCAGGCTCCAAACAGGTACTTTTCCAAAGAACTCTAGCTCCTCTGTGCCCCTGTCAGCTGTTTGGACCAAAATCCAATGGGTACAGTCCGCTGTCCTTTCTTCTCATTTGGCTGCCACAAACTCCAAGATATGGTACCATCCTGCTCCACTACATCCAGCTGAAATGGTATGCCTGGTCTCACGGGTCCCAGTCCCTGGTGCTGTAAGATGGCTTCTTTAGCAGCAAGGAATGCGGTCCGCTGCTCGGAACCCCATGAAAACTCAGTCTTTTTCCTTGTCACATTGTATATGGGCCTCAATATCAGTCCAAGATGTGGGATGAACGATCTCCAGAATCCCACGACTCCAATTCATTTCTGGGCTTCCTTTCTGTTAGTAGGAGGCGACAATCCCTGAATAGTTTGCACAACTGTTTCTGGAATTTTCCTCTGTGGCCCAGTCCACATCATTCCCAAGAATTTCACCTCTGTAGCAGGTCCCTGAACTTTCTCTCTATTTATAGCCCATCCTCTGTTCTCCAGGTGGTGTATCAACAGGTGCAGTGCTTCAGTTACATCCTCTTTGGTTCCGGAGATCATGATGTCATCGATGTAGTGAAACATAGCAACTTTCAGAATCAGGGTGCTCAAATCTCGAGCAATCAGTCCATGGCAAATCGTTGGTGAATGAAGGTATCCTTGAGGAAGCACGGTGAAAGTGTACTGGCGGCCGTCCCACACAAAGGCAAACTGGTCTTGACACTTCGGGTCTATTGGGATTGAAAAGAAAGCATTAGCCAAATCTATCACAGCATGATATTCTCCTGCCTCTTTGGCAATTTTCTCTGTGATGGAGATCAAATCAGGTACAGGATGCTGGAGGTGCCTCTCTGTTTAGACCTCTGTAATCCACAGTCATTCGATAAGTCCCATCCGGTTTCTTTACTGGAAACACCGGAGCTTAGAAAGAACTTACAGCAGGTCTAAGGATCCCTACTCTCAACAGTTCTTGAATAGTCTCCCCAATTTCTTTGTGGCCTCCTGGCAGCCTGTACTGCTTAAGACAGATTGGCTTCTCTGGTGGAGGAATGTAGACAGGGGTCCATTTTGCATGACCTCTGACCACAGCCTTCACCGCCCTTACCAGATACGCTTTGTGTGGATACCCTAATATGAATGTACCGCGTTCAGTCTGGATTGACTGACCTTGAAGTACATCCATACCAAGAATATTTTCAGGCAATTCTGACACTAAAACATTTG